TTATGCAGTTCTTCTAGAATTCTGCACATATGTCTTATAGACATTTTTAATTCATATGATTTTTCTAAAACCTTTCATTTATGTCTTTGTAGTTATCCGACCAACAACATATTTTTTTATTATTATTAAACTCATTCATCTCATCTATTTCAAATGGATGACTCGGTATTTACTTCTGCGAATGGAACTGATCCAATTAGATGAGTCTGATGATTTATTATCACATGATAATTATTTCGCTTAGTCACGCGGAGGATTTTTATCAACTCCAAGTGCTTGGTGAATCTTCTCTCGTTCTCAAGAATTCGACCTCTTATATTTATTTTTAAATCATTGCCAAAAGTCTTTCAAGATCTTTTCCTTTCATAATATATCAATTTTACAATTATTATAGATGTGGTGGTGCAAAAATATCATGACTTTCGCCTTCTTTTTTCTCATCCAATATTTTTATATTATTTCCGATTTATCGAAAGTGCTCAAAAGATCATTTTTTAATGCAAGTTTTCACTTACTGTCCAAGACACATAGTTTTTCCTCATAGGCTAATGGCGACAATCTTGAGCTTTGCCAAACTTTGATATGTTTACTAAATAATAAAACATAAACAAATCTTACCTTTTTGATATATAAATAGATCGAAAGATGATCGTGTCGATAACATATTATGAAATAATATAGTTATAAACTATGCTCTTTAATATGGTGTTTGTGTTTTGTTAAATAGAGAAACCAAGAACTTAAGAGTATGAACAAAGGAAGTAGAGCAAAGTTTGATAATAATTTTCATTTATTTCATCAACTACGTACGTCTATTTATATGAAGTAAGAGTTAATCTAATGGCAGCACATATTTGATGATTAACAACTTAACTTGATGAGTAATCTTTTAATAAGATGATATATGTAGTCTAATGTGATGAATAATCACATTTTCTAACAACAATGATATTATGAATTTTGATTATTTATATCCATACTTTGACTTGTTTCATTTTATTTAGCTCAAAAATTATGAGAAAATAAAAAAAATGCTGAGAAAATAAAGTGTTCAACGAATTACAATGAGAATAAATTTGAGATATACTATAACGGCCCTTAGCAAAGAAATCATATTAAGAACCGGTCATCTACTCCACTTAAGCCGCTGGAGCATAATCATAGATACCGTCATCATCGTCATCACCGTTTTCAACATATGGGACCTGAAGGTATTCAAATACTCGATACTTGTTAGTCACATCACCTCCGATCCATGTCTCACAAACTTGTTGGCAGTTACGGAGAACAAATTCGGAAGCAGAAAACATTGTCCTTTTTTGGTCAATGTGTAAAAGAAGATGCTAATAAATCAAGCAAATGGGAAACAAAAAGAGGTTAATGAGCTTGGTGAGGGAATGAGAGATCGCTGAGCTCTTTATATAGATGCAACACAAAAATAGAAAAAACTTTGGACTTAGTGTGACTTCAGTCAACCTCAGTAAAGAGTGCGATGTGCTTAGAAACAAGTGTGCTTGCCACAAATAGCATATTACTTTTTTCCCAACACGTAAGATTTCCTGTTGACAGCCTGACACACTGGACATAATATTTATATTCTCCATATATATTCTTAGAGCATCCACATCTGTTCAGAATTGCATTAGAGTTCTCAACAATTTAATAATAATATTTTAATATAATCTAATTATTCAATTATATTTTAATTGAAATAGAAGAAACAAACCAATAAAAAAGGACATATGCTATGTAAGGTTTTTATGTTATCTCAAATGAGAACGAGTTCTCGAAATTTCTCATTTTTTGTTCTTATTTTTCTTTTACTTGCAATATATTACTTTAAAAATATTCTTTGAAAACCACTTAATAGAAATGCTCTTAACTAATTATTCACAAATAATGTTTATACCGCAGTCCATATATTCTTAGTTAATTATTCACAATGTTTATACTGCGGTCCATATATTATTAGTTAACTATTTACAAGTACTGTTTATCAAAGTCAATTAGTTAAAATTGATTTTTCTTAAGTCCAATTTTTTTTTATAGTAAACATAAATTTGAAAAGTTAATTTGCAAACACACAAATTCGGGAATAAATAAATTTTGAAATTTCAAAAGTTTTTTAAAAATAACACTGAATTCCAACAGACTGGACTTTTTACAAGAAAATTCTTCAACAAGAAAATGTAGTAGTGAATTAAAATTTAAAAGCAAGTCCATGTTTACTGATATTATATTTATATGGAAATAGAATAAATCAATTTTTTAACCAATATAAATTTAAAAGCAAGACCATGTTTACTAGTATTATTATATGGAATAAACCAATTAGTATGAACTTCTGATTCAGTGACACCATTAAAGTTCTGTAATATATTTTTTTACAGCCGTTCTGAAATTTTAGTTCAAGATGACTTTTCTCAAATCTAATTTATATAGTTTTGTTTTGACAAAATCACATTTAATTACTTAGCTGTAATCCTGTAAAATAAATAGTTTAGAACTATCAAAATTCAAATCTAATTTGTATAGTAAACAAAACTAATTTGCAAACACACAAATTTGAGAATAGATTAATTTTTGAAATTGCAAAAGTTGAAGAACAATTTTTTTTCAAAATAATGGTGAAAAACAAATATCTTTACACATTATGTCGCCACTACAACAAGTATTCCCATGAAGATTAAATGGATACAACCTTTTTCTTGCTTTCCTACTTTGAAAAGAATAAAAAATGTAAACCAATATGCATGTGTCGCGGACGTGTCATTATAAATCCCATGTGTCAAATTTATTTTGCGATTCGTGAATGATATTGTGTCATTCCACAACTTTTACGAGCATGTCACACTCTTTGCTGAGGTCAGTGGAGGACGGAAACGAGTTTATACTCTCATGACATCAACACTTGTTTTCACCTATAAAAGAGTCCAACGATCTCTCGTTTCCTATCAAACTCACATTAATCTTTTGTGTTTTGTGTTTTGCATAATTGCAGTTGCTCTTCGACTCTTTTTTAAGCGTTTCTTTTTTCCTTTATCCAAAGAAAAAAGTATGATTTCTGTGTCCGAATTTGTTTTTTGCATAGATGACAATATCTATGAAACATACATTGGAGGCAACGTCGCTAACAATGCTCAAGCTGTGTTTGTAGAAAATGGTGACAACGATGATGACGTTATCTATGATTACGCTCCAGCAGCCTAAGAGGATCATATCTTTGTTAGGTCAAAAGCGTAGTAATCGGGTTATAATATATGAACAATGATTTTGTACTTCTTATATTAATGAGTTTATGCCATAGGGCTTTTTTTTGGCTGCAAATGGAGGTACAAATAGCGGAACAAATTTTGGCGTAATTGATAGTTACGCTGCATTCCTCTGAATTCCTTTCATTTACGTTTATTTTTACTTTTAGGTAGAAAAGATGGGACCCACATTTTAGGTGGAACTGGACTTTATTCTGCTGAGATTTAGTCCTCCACAAAAAAGAAGAGGAATAGTGAAGCTTAACATTTTTTATTTATTTTTTATATTTATTGTATTTAAAAGTAATTAAATATATCAACTACTTTTGTTGATCCTATAACAAACAAGATATTTTCAAAAATTCTAATCAAAAATAAATAAATGGCTAAACATTTAATAACAACAACTTAGATATTTCCAAACTAAAAGATTTATTTGAATAATTTAAAAATAAGTTACAAAATAGGTAAAACCAACATTTCCTATAAATACATCACCACACCAAAGATTTCAGCCGTAAAAGAAAAACAAAACACAATTTCTACTTATCATAAAACTAGGTTATGAACTAGAAAAAATCTTAGCCATGAGTGAAAGGTAATCGATTCTTTAAATGCTCATAATTTTTATATATTATTTTATTATAGTTTTTTGTAACACTTAATTCATAATTAATCTAGATTTTATATGTAGTTACATCATAAAATGCTGTGTTTCCATGATTTGTTAATGTTTTAATACTATAAAGCTTGTTATGTATATGAAGGATTGTATTTGCGTACTTTTTAAAACTGGTAGTATGTAATTGAATTTTGAGAGATGAAATCATATTGTTCTCTTAACTGGATCAAGTTTTCTTTACAATTATATATTGTTTATGGATTAAGTTGTCATTAATTGATTACATTAATGTTGAAAAATTACGTAGATTCATATTCACTGATGTGATTTTTTTTTAAATAAAGGAACAAAAATGGAAACAATGCTGGATCAAGTAATAGGGGACGTTCAAAGCGCAAAGATAAATCTATTGATGAAGCTAATACAAATCGCGAAGCATCAGTAAGTCTAATAACACCCTCTCATATATATAGTTTATAATTTTAAGACTACATATTTATTACTTTTAATTTTTAGAATTAGTTATATATAAAATGGCTAAATTTATCTTATTTTAAATTCTTATAATTTAAAATTTATTTAACAAATCAAAATAAAATAAAAATTTTAAATAAATTTTACTTTATTTATTAATTCTAAAATTTCAATTTTATACTAATCTATAGAATATTCTACTAAAATACGTTTTTGACAGGAAAAAAAATCCTAAGATTGTTTTATATTATATATTTATCTATAGATTATTCTACTAAAACTATTTTTAAATTTGTATACAGAATTTACAAATATTAAATTTTATCTGAATAAAATTTATCTAATTAAAAGATTTATATAAATCTAAAATTTAGAGAAAATTTTAAGATTTATCTAACTAGATATCTCTAGTATGTTTAATTTTCATTTATAATTTTAATTTATAAAAATATATATGAGTAAAACCTGGTCAAAATGGTTTTTCTATATCAATTAATTTAACTATTAAAAAAATAAAATAGTGTATTTTTTAATTGACAAATGTTAATTAGATTAGTATGCCAATGCCCCTATATATATATCGATATATACATTTACTTAGTTTATGTATTTTTAATTCATATAGTTTTTTTTTGTATGCAAAATTAAAATAGTGTGTTTGGAGTCCAAAAAATTACGAAATTTTGCTCGAACTTGTGAATGACGAGCTAAAAGCAAAAGGATATATGATTAGACTACCTGACAATCCTGGAAAGAGAAGAGTGGAAGAAAAATTTTATGAAACAACCGGCATTAAAGTCAAATGGGAGCTAGAAATAAAAAGCAGAATTGACTATATGCGTAAGCTTCGGCAGTATAACACTATATTAACCAGTCGGACTGGTGTTAGGGTTAATCCTCTAACTGGAAGGTTAGAGATGTCCGAATCTTGGTGGAGTGATCGAATTGCGGTGAGTGCTAAAAATATTACCATATAATATTAGTATTACACACTAAATTTAATTAACAATATTTTAATATTTTTTAAGAATTTGGAAAAAATGGAAAATTTGTACGAGTGCTACAAAGCAAAGCTCTTCCATTTAAAGAACTACTCGATCAAATTTTTGGTGAACATGATCTAGAACAAGATGATCGTTATTCACCACACACACTCCGTACAAACATCCTACAAAGACTTCATCACGAAGAAAGTGATGATGATATAGAGGTGGAGGAAACACCAGAAGACAATGGGTCCCAATTTCCGATGGAACTAACATCTGATGATGATTTTCCCCGAGCTAGTCAGTCAGCTATCGCTGCTACTAGGGAACAAGTACGGAGTTCTTCATCCCGTATAAATAAATCAACTTTGCGTGCTCGAAAGTCTACTACTAGACGTCCTAATCGAAAAAGAATCAACTTCGAGAGCCAAGTTCAAACTGGATTTGAACGTCTTGAAGAGTCTCGAACAAGCTTGTTGGATGTCTTACGGTCGCGGCATAACTCAAAAGCAACTTTTGGTGATGCTGTAGCTGTATTGGAGACGTTGCCGGTTCAACCGATGAGGAAATTTTGTTGGGAAGCAAATAGGCTGTTGATGAATGACGAAGATGTTCGTGATGGATTTATGAAATTACGGAATGAAGAAAATAAAATTCAGTTTTTGGAGAACCTAACTGGAGTTGATAGATATGGCTATCCATGTGATATTATCAATCTGAGGGGTACTAGCAGCTCTGCAACTCCTTCTCTTCCATCTATGCACTCACAAATGGCAGGAATTAATACTAATGCATCCTCAAGTTTCTCCCAAAGATATGAAATGTTTGATATGGGTTCTTCAGGGACTACTTTCTCATCTTTGCTTGGAGTTGTGCCCTCACCTAACATAATAGGCGAAACTAGAAGTGGCACAAATTAGCTATGTATTATTGTTTTTGCTAGTAGTGGTCAATGCCAATAAAATATTTATTTAAAAAATAAAATAATAACTTGTTTTATTTCCATTCAATAAATATTTTATTTTTGTATCACATTCAATAAAAATATACTTATGTATCACTATAAAATTTAATATATTTTTCTAACTTTTTCTGTATTATTTTCAGATATTTCGTATTGCAGAATTGCATTTACGTGGACTTGAAAATTTATCGGATGAAGAAATTACAGAGCTGTTATTGCTGGAAGAAGATGAAATTTTACACACTCACATCACTCCTCTGTTGAAGTATTATGGAAAATTCTTTTGCAAAGAACCAATGAATCAAAAAAGAGGCAAAGGGTGGCACATTATTCGACAACAAATCTATGAAAATGAGAGTTCGTGTCGAATGCTTATACGGATGAGTCCAGAGGCTTTTACACGTCTGTGTAAAATTTTAGAGGAGAGGTATAATCTACAAGACACGCAAAATATGCATGTTGACGAGAGTGTTGCAATATTTCTCATGATTTGTAGGCAAAATGATACTCAAGGCGATATAGGTTTAAGATTTGGCCATGCACAAGAGACAATATGTCGAAAGTTTCATGAAGTCCTTGAAGCAATGGAACGAATGGCTGTAGATTATATACGACCACGAACGGCACAAGAACTTGAAGCTCAATCAAAGCGTCTTGAAGAAGATATACGATATTGGCCATATTTCGATGGATTTATCGGGGCATTAGATGGGACGCATGTACCTGTTATGGTGACTCCAGGACGAGAATCTATTCGATTTTATAATCGAAAAGGAACTCCGAGTCTCAATGTCTTGGCCATGTGCGACCTAGACATGCTTTTCACATATTGTTTCGTTGGTATGGCAGGATCAGCTCATGATGCACGTGTATTATCAACAGCTATTCGAGATGATCCTTTGTTTCCTAAGCCTCCAGAAAATATGTATTATCTTGTGGATTCTGGATACGCCAATAGACGTGGATATTTAGCTCCATACCGAAAACAAAGTAGCAGTGGCACACGATATCATCTACAAGAGTTTTTGAATGGTGAACCGCCATAAAATAGTAAGGAAATGTTTAACCGATGGCATGCATCTCTTCGTTCAGTTATAGAACGAACATTTGGTGTTTGGAAGAAAAAATGGAGGGTTTTAAATGAACTTCCAAGATATAACATTGCAGTTCAAAGACGAGTCATATTTGCTACAATGGGACTCCATAATTTTATTCGGATGAATAATATTGAAGACGTTGATTTTGAGGAAGCAGATTTAAAAACGGATTTATATGAACGACATAATGTCAATGATGATGCAAATGATGATCAAAATGTTGGTGTTGAAGAAGAAGCGGAAGCAGGAACATATATGAGAACTGTTCGTGATGAAATTGCTAAATTTATGTGGCTTAAGAAAAGACGTGGAAGTCATTATCATTAATATTAGATTACTAAGTTTATGTAGCTAAAACATTGTGGATTTTTTTAAATTAATTTTAGTTTTCCACTTTGTTCCTCTAGATAATTACCATTTGTCTTAATAAATTATTCCTCTACCATTGTTCCTCTAATTTATTTTATTCCTCTAACTAACTTCATTCCACTTATTTTTATTCCACCCATCGTTATTCCTACTATTCTGTTTTTTCCACTTGTGTACTTCCATTTGCAGCCTTTATGTTTCTTACTTAACGTTTCCACTAAAAATACTCGAATGTTTTATTATCTCAACCTCAATTTGGTAAAATTGATCTCACATTTTATACCGATGAACCATTGTAATCTACCGATGAGTACTATTCTACTACTCGTCTTGCTTTTCTTTTATACCGATGAACCATTGTAATCTATCTAATTAACGTTATGTGCATTTGAATTTAACGGTGGATTGGTATTCTTTGGCATCTTGTTGTTTTCTTAAAATTTTCACATGCAACCTGATGATTTCGATTAAATATTGAATGAATAGAGTGAACACTTAACCGCAAAACACACAGAAACTAGGAAATATGAGTAAAAATTCAGGAAATTAGCAATGTTAGTTCAATGAAACTTTAAGAGACAAAAATTGACAATGGTCAAGGAAGATATGATCCTCTACATTATAGAAACCATGTTTGTTCATCTAACAAGACTCTTCACACTATAGTACCTGTTGAAGATTTAAGTGAATCCGAACAATCGTTGACGAACTGTTGCAGCTGCTTAAATAAATATTTGCAAATGAATCATTGTAATTGTTGGATTTATGATTACAACATTCGGTAACTAACCATTGTAACTGTTGGGTTTATGGTTACAATATTTGGTAACTAACCATTGCAACTATTAGTGATCAACAATTGCAAACTGATCAACCATTGTAACCTTTTGATTTCTCAATATAAGGAGTTGTGGGAATTATCAAAATTACAACAACAAAAACAGAAAGCAAGTCGAAACAGAGAAAATAAGAAAGAAAGAGAGAGTTTTACTGTTTCAAAAGATCATAAAAGATCTTTGGAAAAACACATATCAACACTAGAACTCTAGTGTGTCTCTTGTATCTTAGCTTAGAACAAGAGAAACTTTTGGTTATCTTATCCTACAAGGAATTTCGTGTAACCCAAGGCTTGATAAGGGTCAAAATACTCTTTAAGGAAAGTGTCCTCGTACGCGATTCAATCATTATACAAGTTCACAATTCATCATTCAGGTTACCAGAATCAAACAATTTTAAAGAGTATTTGCTTGTGAACTATGACTAGTGTGTCTGTGCGAGAGATGACATCCAAGTTTCAAAAACTGGATAAGTTTGAGGGAGTAGATTTTCGAAGATGGCAAAAGAAGATGCATTTCCTCCTCACAACGCTTAACGTAGTGTATGTTCTAAGCATGCCAATGCCTACTGTGCCACATGATGCTGACAACGAGTCTGTGGAGGAGACAAGGAAGCTACTTAAATGGGAAAACGACGATTACTTATGTCGTGGCCACATTCTAAACGGTATGTCAGATCTAGTCTTTGATGTTTATCAGAATTTTGTATCCGCAAAAGAGTTATGGGATGCATTAGAATCAAAGTACATGGCAGAGGATGCTTCTAGTAAGAAGTTCCTTGTGAATAATTTTAATAATTACAAGATGTCTGATTCTAGACTGGTTATGGAGCAATACAATGAATTGTTTCGCATCCTAAGGCAATTCGTCCAACACAACATGAAGATGGATGAATCCATCTCAGTGTCGAGTATCATCGATAAGTTACCACCTTCATGGAAGGATTTTAAACACATGTTGAAACACAAAAAGAAAGAATTGTCACTTGTACAACTTGGCAGCCATTTGCGCAGAGAGGAATCTCTAAAAGCGCAAGAGGGAGGAAAACCCAAAGAGGCTGGATATTCTTCCATCAATATGATGGAGGTAAATGGGAGTCTAAGATGAATAATAAAGGTAAGAAACGCCCCTTTAATAACAACACTAACTATGGATCTAACAAAAGGCTTAAGAGCTTTTGTTGGAATTGTAATAAGCATGGTCACCTGAGACGTGGTTGTCGGGCAGGAAAGGATAATAATATAACCGGATAAAACTGTTTGGGGCAAGGGTCTAAGGACCAAGGCCCATCCACTCATCAATGTCAGATCTCTGCTTTCGATTCATATTCTAATGTGAACCATGTATCAAAGATTTATGAGGCATTTTATGTGCAGGATGATGAAGTGACGTGGTGGATTGACTCGGGTGCAATAACACATGTTTGCAAAGATCGTGGATGGTTCAAGACATATGAACCTGTTCAAGATGGATCTGTTCTTCATATGGGAAACAAGTCAACTGCCCCTATCCTAGGTCGTGAAAAAAGTGATGTTGGAATTTAGTTCCGGGAAAACTGTTAATCTTGATAATGTACTTCATGTACCCGGAATTAGAAAAAACTTAGTCTCCGGTAGTGTTTTAAATAAGTGTGGTTACAAACAAGTGTATGAATCCGATAAGTATGTCTTATCGAAGTGTGGTGTATTTGTTGGATTTGGATATTTCTGTAATGACATGCTTATACTTAATATTAATAAGGTTATCAGTTCTATTTATATTGCAAGTTCTAGTAAAAATGATACTTCTTTATGGCACGCTAGATTAGATCATGTACATTATAAGCGTATGATTGATATGTCTAAAGAAGGATTAATTCCTACTTTTGACATGTATATAGAAAAGTGTAGTACTTGCATATTGAATAAGATAGTTAGACAGCCTTTTAAAGGTATTGAAAGAAATTTTGTAGTGCTTGGACTTATACATAGTGATCTATGTGACTTGCATGCTACACCATCTTTAGGAAACAAAAAGTATTTCATTAAATTCATTGATGATTATAGTTGTTTTTCTTATGTGTATTTATTGCATGCTAAAGATGAGGCCATAGATAAATTTAAGGTTTATAAAACTGAGGTTGAATTGCAACAAAATGACTCCATTAAGAAATTACGCATTGATAGAGATGGAAGTATTATGATCCTGTATATTTCCAGTCTGTAGGAATCATACATGAAACTACAGCTCCTTATACACCACAACAAAATGGTGTATCAGAGAGAAAAAATAGAGTCCTAAAGGAAATGGTTAATTCCATTTTATCCTACTCTCGATTGAGTTACGGATTTTGGGGTGAAGCAATGTTAACAGCTTGTTATTTATTATATATGGTTCCTAACAAAATGAACAACCTTACCCCTTATGAACTTTGGTATAAGAAGAAACCAAACTTGAACTACCTTCGAGTTTGGGGATGTAGTTAGACTACCCCAACCCAAGATTAAAACATTGAGAGAAAGAGGCATTGATTGCATCATTATTGGATATGCTGAGCATTCAAAAGCTTATAGATTCTATGTCATAGAACCTAATGATTCTGTATCGGTTCACATCATAATTGAATCAAGAGATGCAATATTTGATGAAAATCTTTTTTCATCCATATCCATACCAAAGGATTTGGTTCGTAGTTCGAATGGAACTAAAGAAGGAGATGAAACATCTATGGCTTCTAACGTGTCACCTATGGTTCGTAGGAGCAAGCGAGGGAGGATTGAGAAATCTTTCGGTCCTGATTTTCAGATTTATTTAGTTGGAGGGTGAAGAGATGAGACTGAATTCCAATACTCATACTGTTATCATATTGATAATGATCCTAGGACTTATGGTGAGGCTATGAAGTCTCATGATGTTGCATTCTAGAAAGAAGCAATAAATGATGAAATGGACTCCATCATGGGAAATAATACATGAGTTTTATCAGATCTCCCATCTGGTTGCAAGCTTTTGGGCTGTAAGTGGATCTTCAAAAGGAAGATGAAAGTCGATGGGACTATTGACAAGTTTAAAGCTCGATTGGTTATCCAAGGCTTTAAACAAAAGGAATGCATTGATTATTTTGATACATATGCTCCAGTTGCTAGGATCTCTTCTATAAGGTTATTGATGCTTTGGCAGCTATTAATAATCTTGTGATTCCCCAAATGGATGTCAAGACAACGTTCTTGAATGGCATTTTTTGGAAGAAGGGGTGTATATGAAGCAACCTGAAGGTTTTACTATGCCTGGTAATGAGCATAAGTTGTCTAAGTTGATAAAGTCATTGTATTGGCTAAAGCAGGCACCTAAGCAGTGGCATCAAAGATTTTGTGAGGTTATCTTATCAAGTGGATTTAAGTTAAATCAGTCGGATAAGTGTTTATATAGCAAATTTGACGAGTCCGGTAATGGAGTAATCATTTGCTTGTATGTTGATGACATGTTGATCTTTGGCACTGACCTTAGACAAGTAGAGTTTACAAAAGCATTTTTGTCATCAAGCTTTGCCATGAAAGACATGGGGGAGGCCGATGTGATTCTTGGAATTCGAATCAAGCGTAAAAGCAAAAGACTATCTTTGACACAATCTCATTACATTGAGAAAGTGCTTATGAAGTTTAATTGTGAGAATTTTCTCAAATGGCACTCCCATGGATGCGAGTGTGAAGCTTATGCCTAATATGGGACAAGCAGTGTCACCACTCGAGTATTCACAAGTAATTGGCTGCTTAGTGTATGCCATGACGAGCACCAGGCCAGATATAGCTTATGTTGTAGGGAGGTTGAGTAGATACACTAGTGATCCTAGTACTCAACATTGGCAAGCCTTAAGACGGGTGCTTAAGTACTTGAAAGGAACCATAAATTATGGTTTGTCTTATGATGGATTTCCTTCAGTTCTAGAAGGGCATTCAGATGCAAGTTCGATCAACAACATGGAAGATCATTCTTCTACAAGTGGTTGGGTGTTTTTACTTGGGGGAGGTGCCATTTCATGGGCTTCCAAAAAGCAAACTTGCATTACAAGTTTGACTATGAAATCAGAATTTGTAGCATTAGCAGCTGCTATAAAGAGGCAGAATGGCTAAAAAAATTAGTTTA